ATTTTATCTTAAGAGCCTCCAAAATTTTAACCAATTATTATGACTAAAATAACTATTATAAGTAATAATTATTATTGTTACTATTATTATAACACTATAGCTATTATTAGATTTATTTATATAATTATTATTCACTGTAATTGTGTTAAGCATGGTTTTTAGCCCTTTTATTAATTCAATAAATATCAACAACTAAATATAATCAATAAATAAATATAAATACCAGTAACTGAAAAAGCAATTTAAAGGACGATGGAAAATAGTTTTGCACCATGCCTTAGAATGTAACACACTGTTAGTGGGATTCACCAGATCTATTAGCCATTAACATTCTTAACAAAATAATTATATTCCTTAAAATATATTTTAAAAACTTTTTTCAACACAAAATAAAGAGTCAACACAATGAAAACATAAATACTATAAAATAGCCACTAATTATTAGCAACATACCACTGATTATTAGCAACAAACAAAAAATCCTAAAAAAGAAAAATTCTAAATAAATCAACAATATTTATTTCTAATGTAAGAAGCAATAGATTTTTCTTCTATTGTATCCAGTGCTGTAGCTAATGATGACCAACTGGGACCTCCTTTCTCTCTCACTTTATCTTCTCCTCTTAACCAGGCAGACATACAAGCATGAAAACATTTCTCTGAATGTCCTCTATAGTCAATGTCTATATTCACTAGTCTAGGATCATATAATCCTAAATAAAGACCAAACTGAAACCATTTAGTGCAATTCAATTGATTGAGTATTGTTAGCTCTTCAATGACAACATCGAGATCTTTAATATCTATAAAATAGAAATTAATAATGTGCATACACGGTTTAGTGTAGACCTACTACTTGTCAATTATGACAAACATACCTAGCTTTATTGTGCCTGTGTTGAAATTTGCAGTTATTTCAATCACTTCCTATATAATAATAACTATAATGATAACAGCTATTTGATGCCCTCTGCCCCAGGTGAATGGTCATCAGTTAGTTAAGTAACTGCATGAGTTATGAGGCCATACACATCAGTAGTGTATTGCTAAAACACTACTGCTTTAATGGATATACCACACAACAACAACCTCACAATTATGACAGACCCACTAACCAAGTAATAAGAAGAAATAACATAATGCCTATCATTGTATTGTGTTAAACAAACATATTTCTTACCATAATATCACGCCCTCCCAATAGTGACAGGCTACTAATATTTGATAATGATTCATCAGGTAGGATCTCCTTCAATCCTATACGTCTAGTACCAGTGACAAGAAATGGACTACGTTCAACAATTGCTGAGAGTACATTTTTAACACTATAAACTGTCCTTTCTCTTGGTGTATTCACAGGATAGGCTAGTTCTTTAGGATCAATAACTAACTCTTCTACCTCTAGACTGGGACAGCATTC